AGAGCCTGGCAGAGGTCTGCACAGTGAGGACAGCACAGCCAGGCATGCCAGACACCCTGAGGGAGGCCCTGGGGCAGACCTTCCTGAAAAGCTGGCCTATCAACAGGCCCTCCTTCCCTGACCCCAGAAGGGTCTGCATTTCCTCCCCACAGGAAGGCATGGTGGGAAGGTGAGTTCTGCTCTCAGGAGCACAATGGATTGGCCACTATGGCTCCAAGTCTTGGGAAAGTGCAAGCCCCACTCAGCCTCACTTTCAACTCTCAGCAATGGAGTGCTGGGAAAATCAAGCCCACATCATGGCTGTGGTATAGAATGCAGCCTCTATGGTAAGGGTGGACCCTGGCCTTGGGCCTGTGGAAGACCACCTACAGCAGCTGTGCTGATTCACACAGATGACCTTCCACCACTGCTGGGAATCTAAGCCTCCTCCTCACTGAGGCCTGCACTTGGGGAAAGTTGTTCTGGTCATTTTAAATATTGAAGAGTTTCTCTATGGGCTTCAGGGTGGTCCTGCAGCAGGAATCCTTGGGCATGCAAAGGCCCCAGGCCCACTCAGATATCATGCAATAGGAAGTGGGTAAATCATTTATTGAACATACATGTAAACACACTATGCACAGATACTTTTCCAGGCATTGACAATGATCCCATAACCACAGCACTACCTTCTTGGATTTCAATGCTATTTGGGCTCCTTACAGTCACCCTGGACCTCACAGCAAGTATTATCCACAGTAGCACAGATGAAGCTTTCTGGAATCCCTAGTTGGGGATAAGCAACAGTGCAAGAGGAGTCCAGAAGAGGCACAAAAAATGAGAAAAACTTGGCTACATGAGCTACACCCTGAGGAGAGCCACCACAGGATGGACGCCTAATGTCCCTCAATTCTCAGACAGTTGTGGAGCACCAGCCCTGTGCCCTTGAGTACAACCACAAAGCAGACAACAGACCCTGTCCTCTTGGAGCTGACAGTGAGGACAGGCAGGGAGTCATGGGATCAGGCTACCCTGAAGAAGGCAAAGGCATTCACACCACTGAACAAGGGGTTCATCTCATGGAGCCTTCTGTCAGGCTCCCAGGGCTCTGGGGCAGGAATTCTATACCAGGCATAGGGAGCAGATGGGGTTCACTCATGGACAAACTGGGCAGGAGGCTGAAAGCTAGAATTTATTGATCCCCTAATCTTAACCCTAGCACTGGTCCTTAAATCTAATCCTAAATAAAACCTAAACCTAAACTTGAACCTACCTCTAAACCATACCCCTGACCCTAACCTTCAAGACAAAAATCTGAAACTAAACCTAAACACTAACTCTAATAAAACCCCTCTTCATAACATTAAATCTAAGCATATTTCAATCCAAATCCCTAGCCACTAACTCTAACCATAAGATTAACCCTGAATGTAACCCTGAAAATTTATCCTAAATCAAACCCTTAACGTACCCTTCATGTTCACCTGAACCCTAAACATAACATTCATACTCACCCTAAATCTTAACCATAAATAACATCAAACTCTAATCCTAATCCATAACATCTAACACTAACCCTAACTTCCACCCCAATACCATCCCAAATCCAATGCTAAGCGGAAACCTAGCCCTAACTCTAAGCCCCACACTACCCCTAAAGCCAAACCTAACATAAACCCTATCCTAATATCCAATGCTAAGCTTAAACCTTACTGCTAATCCCTACAATATTTTCAGCAAAGAGACTCAGAGAGACCCTCTTTCTGTTGTTGACCTCTGGCCTACCTTCTGGATCTCAGAACAATGTCCTGTATAATCTCAGCAAGTCTTTGGAAAGGATCCAGTTAATGGCTCAGCAACAGCATTTGGAGGGGGGTGGCCAGGGGGTGCTGGTGGCTCCAGAAAGGCTCAACTCCTCGGCACTAGGGAGGCTCTGTTTCTCGGAGTTTGGGGGCTGTGGTACCCCGGTCCTCGAGCCTCACCTACTCCATGCTGGCAGGGCTGTGCTCCTTGGAACTTGGGGTGGGTGCTACAGAGGTCTGAGAGGCTCACCTCCTTTGGTACAGGGAGGCAGGCCAACGGAGGGGAGGGCTGGGGGGGGGAGCAGCTTCTACTGCTCCATCCCCTGAGGCTGTGGTAGGCATGTCCAAGATGCTCATGCCCTCAGCAGAATCCTCAACTAAATCCTAAACCTAAATCTTGAACCTGACATCAACCTTAAATCATAACCCTAAGACTAAACTATTAGCAGAACCCTAATCTGGAACCCAGTCCCCAAACAGAAATCTAATAGAAACGCTAACCACAATATTAAGTCTAACTGTAATGCACACCAAAATTCTCACAACCCACTCTAACCCTGAACCTCACCCTGACCCTAGCCCCAAACCCTTAGCCTAAACCCTAACTCACACCTAATCTTCATCCTACCACTAACCCTCACCATAACCTTCCTGCTCACCCTAACCCCATACCTAATGTTCACATTCACCCTAAGCCAAAACCCTAAACATAGTCCTTGACTCTAACCACAAAATCTAATCCCAATTCCTAAATCTAAACACTAACCACAGCCTCAAAACAAACAGCAACCCAATCCAACAAGAATCCCAACCCCAATCATAACCTTACTGCCCACTTTAACCCTAAAACCTAAACTCGCTTAAACCCTGATCCTTATACTTAACTCTAATCTTAACACTAACCACTAACCCCAATGGTAGAAATTAAACAGTACCCTCACCTGAAACCCTAATACTATCCCTATGCATAACACTGAAACTAAAGCCCAACACTAATCCTAATCCCTAAGAGTCATCTTCACTCTAAGATTTATCCTCACTCAAAACCCAACACTCTCCTTTACCCTATGGCCAAACCTCACCTTAGCCCTCAGACTATCCATAACCTTCATCCTCAGCTTCGTCCTCACCTAATGCTCTTGAATACTAACCCTGTTTCTCTCACTGTCCAATCGAATGTATTACCAATGTGTTTAGTGATGAAAATCGTACACAATGTGACCACTAACCAAAACCCTTGAAGGTAAAATATCAAGAAAGGGTGAGGAAAGAACAAACTCTTCAAACAGAAAACAAATATACACATAGTATTCTCAAGCCTCACAAGTCCCATTTGCAATTCCTGCTGGCCTGACCACCAGTGTTACATGCATGAAGATCCCAATGGGTGACTTTTTATTAATTTTATTAGTAAAAATACCAATAAAGGTGTAATGATCTGTTGGTACCACCAGAGGTAAAAGCTGCATGATGGGACAGTCACACGTACCACCAGGGATTGAGTTGCCCAGCAGTGAGACATGAATGATGGCTCTATTGTGAACATATTAAATACCAAAGGTCTGAGTGCTAAGACACTCCCTCCTCAGAGTGAGCCCCTGCCACCATTTGCAGTTTCCCTCCAGGGACAAGTATAATTTTCATCCTAAATCACTGGACTTTTCTAAAAGTAAAAAAATAGAAAAGACAGAATAAAAACTAAAGATCTAAACAGTTGTATTATGTCTTGTCATGTTGCAGAGGGTGAAAGACAAATGTAAAAAAGTTTGTACGTATGGTGAGATAACTATAATTTAAATGATATTTTTGAATTGGACTGAAATATTAATCCAAAACCAAAATCTAATTCTCTATGATAAAAACAAGGATTTTCTAAAATATATATACATAGATCTTTTAATGACATTTACAAAGTACTGACTTAGAAAGCAAAGACTTTGTGAGTGTCAGGGTCTTGATCACTTAAGTGAAGTGAAGTGCAGCTCATCTGCCTGACCACAGATCCACAGCTCAGCCTGCTGGCCATAAGTGTGTGGGACACTGGGACATTTCCCTCAATCCAGCTGTCTTCCAACAAAGGGCTGCACAGCATGTGTCATGGAGCAACGCAGAACAGAGCAATGGCCATGGTCTCCCTCCCTCCTGATCACAGGGCTGAGCAGGAGCTGCAGCTGCCCAGGACCTAGAGAGGATCAGACCACGGTCACCAGCCCAGGACAAGGTCTGAGTTCTCCATGCCAAAGCCAAGGGAGGCCTCTGATGATGCATATGCCCTCCACACCCCTGTGAAACCGAGGCCTCTAATGTGAGCTCTGTCAGCCATAACATCTGCGGCAGCAGAGCTTTTATGACTCCCTGCCTCTCTAGGCCCTGGGTCCTGGTGGGGAGTGAAAGCCACCCCTGGCCAGGCTACCCTGGCCAACACCAGAGTCAAGTTGTGGGTATAGGAGACCAAGTCCTTGTGCCCAGCTAATGAGACCATCCCCTCCCTCCTGAGTGCCCACACTCAGCACCTGCTGATTCTCCTGCAGTGGACAGAATAGCTGTGGTGGGTACCAGCATGCAGGGGGGAGGGGGAGGCTGGATGTGGGGTGCAGTGGGGCCCGATCTCAGCAGGCTCCACCATAGGATGCCTTTTTCATGCTTTTCTGGTCCCGACTGGGAGGACAACAGCCTGGAGGGTGAGGAGCAGTCACACACTAAGTGTGATGCCACCAGGGCCTGGCAGAGGCTCAGCTGCAGGTGACCACCCCACCTGCCACCACTGCAAAGTGACACAGTCCAATGCCACTCTGGGCCAAACACCAGGGCTGGGCTCTGTACCTGCAGAGGAAAAGTGACCCTGGCTGGTCTGGGGAGCACAGGGCCCCTTTCACTGTGAATTTTCCACTCTGCCATCCTGGGCCTTCCAGTTCAAGAGTCCCAGCTTCCAGGAGAGAGGGCCTTTCTAAGCTCTCTGCTCTCCTGTCTGGAAGCCTTTGCTCCATGGGCCCCCTCATTCCATCCCACTGCTGCCTGGAGTAGGGTGCTGTGCACACCTCTCCAATGGAGCTGTGAGGGCATCAAGGGCAAGCTGGGCCAAACCTTAGCCCTGCATGTGCAGCCTGCACCTGTCATGTCCTGAGGGTAGACAGCATTTCCAAAGGAAGGATGAGGTCTGCCTGGACAGAGGTGGCTCTGCACCATCCTGACCTTAGGGGCTGATCAGGCCCGGCCTCTCACCTGCATCTGCAGAGACAGGCTGGATTCTGGACTCCATGTGCCTGGGTCTTAAGGAGTCCACTTCACAGCCTGTGGTCATCATACCTTCTATGGTAGGCACGGAAACCAGGAACCTCCAGGAACATGCCAGGCTGCAGGTCCCTCTGTGGCCGTGAGCCTAGTGAGGAAAGTCACTGTGGGAGGCCTTAGCCTATGGTCCTGTGGCTGCATGGGGAAACCAGAGGGGTCAGAATAAGTGTGCACACTCACACTCATACACACATGCTCACACTACAGATGCTCCTTACTTGTGCCTGCTCACTTACACTACCACATCCTAGCTCCTCACCTGCTCATATGCACACACTCACCCATTCCCACACATGTCATCCTCACACACTAAACCACTCATCTATTCACATCTACATGCACAATCACCCACCTGCTCACAACTTCCCCTCAGCCAAAAGATTCACACTCCCTACCAATCCACATTCTCCACCAGTGTGCACCCACCTGGACTACTTCCCATATTGACACCTGACAGCTATGCATGTGTGCTCACCATTCATCCACCAGAAATGCTTACACACTCAACACACACACACACACACACTAACAGCCATCTGTATGGTATGGATCAAAAATGTCCCCCATAGGTTCCTTCTTTCGAGATTGAGCTTTGGAAGGTGGCTGGGTCCTAGAGGCTTGTGGTCCTCCATGGATTGATTAATCCAACCATGAGTTCAAAGCTCAGTGTATAGAGGATGTGTTCCAGGGGGGCCTTACCTGGAGGGTGGATTCTGTCCCCAGCCTCTTTCTTTCTCTGATTCCTGGCTGCTTTGACTTTTGCAGCTTTCCTCTACCACACTCATCCACCATGTTATTTCCTTCTAACTAGCTGACCGTGGACTGCACTCACTGAAACCATCAGCCTAAATTAACCTTTTCTTTTTTAAGATTCTCATGTCAGGTGTTTGTCCCAGCATGGGAAATGCTAACTAATAAAAACTTAGACCCAGACACTCACCCAGTGTCAAGTTCATAGCCAGATGGAAAATCATTTTTGTCCTTGCTCTGTCTAGCTATCTCATTTCTGTTCCACATCGCCGGGGACCTTCAGACTGACATACGCAATTACACACCCATGACACTGGTCTCAGGACCTAGTGACATCTCCTAGACCTCAGGCTGGCCACCGAGTTTCCTGCAGCAGGCTACTTTTGTGAATGGACACAAACTCCTGCCAACACATACCCCTGCAGGCTTGTAACTGTCTGCTGAGAAAAAAAGGATGGTTCTGCTTCTTCCCAGCTTGGTGTCACAGCCAGAGTGAAGGACAGGAAGACAGATGCTTGTACACAGATAGGACACCTGTCACTAATCCAAGCAGTTACAGGAGGGAGGGAGACCTGCTGACTTCCAGGGCTTGAGCCACATCTGAGGTCAGTCACTGCAGCTAAGGCCAGGCAGAAACATGACAATCAGTGCACAGTAACACTTGCTATGTGACTTTGATGGAGACATTTCTCCTCAAATTTCACTTTTTTCTAATTGTATTTATATCATTTTTGAAAAAATATGGTTTTTGGAAAAATAGTCAAGTGGTCTCAGAGCTGTGTTCCAGGATGTCATCTCATACTTTCTTTACTGTGTATTACTTGGTAACTTTTTCCCCTGAATATCATATTATGTGTGATGGGAACCTCAGGAAACACATAAATCTCAAGGACTTTCTCATTGAAAATTCTCTCTGAACAATAGAAAATAATATTAAAAATAATAGAATAGACAAAGAACCACAATTTCACAGAAAAACTCCAAGGAAGCTCCAGAGTTGGCATCTCAGGTCCCTATACTGAGGACTGATAAGGGAGATCCTTTGGTTGCTGTAGAAATGTCAAGATGACAAGAAGGAGGTGCTGGGGATAGGAATTTCTGCAACTTGGTGTTCCACAGGGCCACCTTTCACCCCCAGAACTCTGTCTTACAGGGTGGGATGGGACTGGTGCCTCACAATGACAGCCAGCACTTCAACAGTTTTTTGCAGCCATGTAGACCCAGGTCCCACCCTGGGGATGAGGACACAAAGGGAGAACAGTGCTTTAGGGAGGGAGAAAGAAAGATGATGACATCCTGCACCCTTCCCAGGCCCCATAAGGATGGTTTTCCAGGACATATAATGGCCTATCATAGAAATGCTGTGGATAGCACCCTCAGAGTGCCCTTGTCAGGATGGACACATTTGTCATCACTTTCCATGGAGGTGAGTGAGGCTTAGGGACATGGCCCAAATCCCAGTGGTGCAGTGGTAGTGGGTGAATCACTGGTATCATGGCACAGCCCATACCTTCCTGTTCCTAGCAATGGCCTCTGGAGGTTTGGAGGCCTCTGTGTGGATGGAGGAGGGGAAGGCTGTGCCTCCATCTCCACTGGTAATTCTCTGATCCTACCTGCACTACCCAGGAAAGACTTAGGGGCACTAAACAGCCCAAGGTCAGGGAGGGAGGCTGGCAGCTCGTTCCCAGAACACAGCTGGATACTCCCTCTAATGCTCTTGCCAGACAAGAGCTTGATCCCCAACTGCTGTTCCCAACTCAGGCACTGTGACTTCCTCTGCAGTGTGGGGAGGAGGACAGCAGATGCCGAGAAGCCAAGGACCTGTGGAGGAAGCTGTCATCTACTGGAACATGAGATTCCTCAGAACCCAACACAACATTCACCATTCTGCATACCTCCCTCTGGGTCTGGGTCCTGGAAAATAGTGGGGTCCCTAACCACTTGGGCCTGCTTAGAAATGTGTCCCCCTCCTAACTTCACTATCCCTATGGAAATGCAGTAATATGAAACAAAGCAAATACCACAGTCCTACTAATCATTCACCTCCAACACAGAGCAACTGACCCCTGGTCATCACTGCCCATCACTAGCAATCAAGGCTTCTTTGTTTGCATTTCCCCCCTGACCTGGACCAGTAGGTGCAGACTAAACTTCACAGAAGTGTGCAGGCATCTGGGCCAGTACAAAAGGATCTGAGCAGTAAAGGAGCTTCTCCCAATTTTGTAGGACTGCTGCTCCCTGGTGCCATCCTTTTGTTGGGCCTGTAACTCTGCCAAGTCCCTAAAGCTGGCCTTTCTCAGTACAAAACTCATTCATTGAAATGTACTCTGAAGATCCCTGAGTTTGCACCTTTTGTTTGAGCCTTCTCTTTGGGGAGAGAAATGCACAGGTGTTAAGCAGGTTGCTTAGGTCACACTTCAAAGTGGGAATCAAAATTGCAATTTCAGCCCAGGATCCTAAAGACCACAATCACTGCTTCCCCAGAATCTGAATTATCTCAGAATTTAGTACATGTAGATCAGTGCCCAAACATGATGGGCCTGCAGCCCAACCTCATCCACCATCTTAGGAGAACATGACCACATCTATTCATTTCTGTACTGAGTATGGAAGCCTGATAATCACAGAGTACAGAAGGACAATGCCAATTCAGCCTCCACAAAAGGATATAACAGCTGTCTACAGAGTGTTTCACCCAAAAAAAGAATATGCATTTTTCTCAGAAGAACAGGGAACTTTCTCAGATACACATCATGTCATATAGGCCATGAAGGATGATGAAATTGCTACAAATGAGCTGAAAGAATCCACATGTTAATAGATCATAGTGGAATAAAACCAGAAATGAATAGCAAAATAGGCCACAGAAATTATGCAAACAAATGGAGATTAATGAATAGATTCTTGAGCAATCAATGGGACACAGAAAATACCACCTGAAATATTTAGTCTCCTAGAATCAAATGAATATGTAATCACAACACAACCAACTCATGAGACACAATGAAAGGAACAGAAAGAAAATTTTATAAGTGTGAAGGCTCACACTGGAAAAATAGAGCCATCCTAAATAAATAACCTATACTTTGAGGTCTTAAAGACAAGAACCATCCAAGTCCAACCCTAGTACAAAAGAAAGATACAAAGATTAAAATGAAAATCAATAAACTTGAGACTCAATGAAGATTTTACCAGGAGTTCGTGGAAGAACTACTGTCAAAATTTTTCCAAACATTTTGAAGTTGAAAAGAAAGGACACTGCCAAATTCATGATCAAAGCTAGACTTTCCTATCTTAACCCTAGCACTGATCCTTAAATCTAATCCTGATTAAAACCTAAACCTAAACTTTGACCCCAGTTTTTAACGGTAACCCTAACCCTAACCTTCATACCAAACTCTGAAACTAACTGCAAACACTACCTCTAATAAAACCTCTCGCCATAAGCGCATTTCAATTCAAACCCCTAGACACTAACTCTAATCATAAGACCCTGAATATAACCCTCAACCCTTACCCTAAATCAAACCCTCACCATAACCTTCACGTTCACATGAACCCTAAATATAGCACTCATACTCACCCTAAATCTTAATCCCAAACATAACTACTAACATCAAACTCTAATCCTAATCCACAATATCTAACACTAACCCTCACTTCCACTCCAATAGCAATCCAAATCCAATGCTAAACCCAACCGTAGCCATAATGCTAACCCTCACCCTAACCCTAAAGCCTAACCTAACATAAACCCTAAGGCTAATATCCAACCCTATGCTTAAACCTTACTGCTATTCCCTACAATATTTTCATCAAGAAGTCTCAGAGAGGCCCTCTTTCTGTTGTTCACTTCTGCTCTATCTTTTGGAGCTCAGAACAATGTCCTGTATGACCCCTGCAACTCTTTGGTGTGGATCCAAGTAATGGCTACACACAGACTCCAGAATGGGGTGGAGGTGGGGGTGCCTACTGGCTCCAGCGTGGCTCATGTATTCGTCACTAGCAGGTCTCTGCTCCTCAGGGTTTTGGGGCTGTGGTACCCAGGGCTTCAAGCCTCAGCTACTCTGTGCTGGCAGGGCTGTGCTCCTTGGCACTCTGGGGCAGCAGAATGTAGGCCTGAGAGTCCTACCTCATTGCCGCCATGGGGGGTGTTCTGCTCCTTTGCACTCATGGACTGTGGTATGGAGACCCGAAAGGCTCACCTCCCCAGCGCTGGGGGTGGGTTCTGCCCCTTGGTGCTGGGACCAGTGCTATGGT